TAGGGTGTAGTAAGTGGCTCATCTATTGTATCTTCAGTCCAAACCCACGATTTCGATTCTTCAAACACGACGTCTCTAGAAATTACAATCCGGTGATTCCTGGGATTGTACAGTCGATGCCCTTTTTTCCTTCTTCCACCCCCAAATAAACCATGGTTTCACTCTGGTCACTTAATTTGCATACGCCCCGTAATTTCTTGACAAATCCCACACACCCAAAAACCTTAAGGTGTGCCACCGAAGGTTTTCAACCCTTCCAAGCCTCGTACGGGGTCACGTCCGCGAGTGCCTTTGTTCCAGTTCTGTTCAGCAAGTATACTGAGTGTCTCACCACCTTACCCCAAAATTGATCCGGCATCGTCATGGCCTTGAGTAGCGATCTCGTCATCTCCAGAACCGTCCGATTGCGATGTTCCATTATGCCATTTTGTTGGGGCGTATGTGCAGTCGTTAGTTGTTGTCGTATTCCATCTTCTTCAAAAAACTCCAAGAATTGGTTGGAATTAAATTCTCCCCCACGGTCGGTTCTTAGCATCCTGATCGTATGGCCACTCTCCTTCTCTACTTGTAGTTTGAATTTCTGGAACATCCCAAAGGCCTCATCTTTGGTTTTGATCAGGTACACCCACATGTATCTGGAATAATCATTAACAATTAGTAAAAAGTACTGATTGTCCCCCTTTGTTGCAGGTGTGATGGGTCCACAGAGATCCACATGTAACAATTGGAGTGGTTCCTTAGCTCTCCATTGGGCCGCCTTTGGAAGGCTTTGTCTAGATTGCTTAGCTACCATACATCCTTCACACACCTGTGATGGATGAGTTACTAGAGGAAGTCCTATCACCATTTGCTTCCGTTTCATTTCTTCCAGCATTCTGAAATTTGTGTGGCCCATACGTGCATGCCACAACCATGAGTCATCAAACATACTCACAGACAAGCACGTAGGCTTCCCAGGTGTGAGTTTTATCTTATATAATCTATTTCTTGACCTATGTACCTTCATGATCAAACGGCCAGTTTCATCATACATCCTCGAGAATTCCCTCTTCATTCCTATAGCATATCCTTCCTCAGTCATCTGTCCCAGGCTAATTATATTGATATGTAGAGCTGGGATATAATATACATCTGTGATAATAAACTGGTCACCATTTTTGCAATCAAACAATAGAGTACCTTTCCCCTTGATAGGAACCTTAGATCCGTCTCCAAATCTTACTTGTCTAGTCACCTTTTCATCTAGTTCTGCAAATAACTCTTTAGAACCAGTCATGTGGTTACTAGCCCCATTGTCTAGGTACCACATGTTGTTATCTTCTGTTTCTTTTAATTGATTCGGATACACCTTCTCCTCACTCAAAAGGACCATACTTGTATTTTCTTCTCCATGTACGGTTAGCAGCAAACCAGGTTCATCTTCATCTGTAGCTAAGTTCACCTCCTGATCTTGCTGCTTCTTGGCTTTACATTCGAAAGCATATTGGCCAAGTTCTTGGCACTCGAAACATCTTATATGGATTTTGTCTCGTGGTTTCCGGTTAGAGTTATTTGCTTCCTGTCGTGAACTACCACTAGAACATCCGCCTCTTCCATGAGTCGACACCCATCCCCGGGAACCGCCTCTGTCACTACTTGCCCCTCTCCCCCAACCCTCGGTCTTGCTTGGACTTCGATGACTTGAGGAGACCTTCGACTTTGCATGTAACATGGCATTATCACCACCTGAGTTTGCCTTCTGGTGTCAAAGTCGATCCTCATAAGCCTTTAAGTGCCCAATTGCCTCCTCGAATGGCATGGACTCCATGTCGGAGCTTTGTTCAATTGAAGCCACACGATTTATAAATCTTTTCGGAACAGTTTCGAATAGCTTTCTCACCAATTCTTCATCTTCCAAAACTGACCATGCGCTTCCAAACTTTGAGATCATAACTGATATATTCCCTGCATATTCATCTATGGTCTCCGTTTCTTTCATTTGGAGTGCTTCGAACTCGCTTTTCAATACCCGTAACCTCGCATTTTGGACCCTCTCTACACCCATATACTGTGACTTTAGAGAGTCCCAAACCTCCTTGGCTGTCTTCTTCTTCGCAGCCTGTGCTAGCATCTCTTCTGGGATCGACTGAAAGATGAAGGTTCGATCTTGCTTGCTCTTTTTCTCATCCACAACTACACTGGTTTGTGGCTCAATGGCATCCCATAACCCATGGGTATCCATAATGGCTTCCATCTTGATCGATCATGTATTGTAATTTGATGAGGTTATCATCAGGCATTGAAGAGGGTATAGGCTTTCTTTTGGTGGATTGGATGTTGAAGCTACTATCATGGTATCGTATCTAATGATCTTGGGCATACATACGATCAAAACCTTAAAGCTCTGATACCACTTGTTGGTGGGCAAGGCTTAATCTAACAGTAAAATTGCCAGGGGTATAATGGGAACAAGATAGCCGAATGATAGCCTTTATTGAATGAATGAAACTGGAAAAGGTTACATCTACTTGACAGCTAAAACAATGAACTTTAAACAGGCTAAATACAACTGAAAACAGAAAAAAAAATATAAATAAATAAAAAATAGCAACAGATCTTTTACTGGGCAAGTAACTCACGTCCCCTTTTATTCTCCTGGTTACTTGGTCAGCATTGACTATCAAAGGATGCTAACAACAATAAAAAGAAAATAAATGAGGCAAAGCATGCACAATTGAGGTCCGTAATTTGTTTGACATGCTATGATTAAGTCCCGTTTAGTATGCAGATAGGACAGGTTTAGTTGTGTTTGGATCGGAACTGGAACTATGACAATAGGACAAACAATGCAATCTTTTCCCCACTCTTGGTTTCCTGTCTGTATGAAAGACATAAATGCCCCTGCCCATTCTCGTCTTCGAAAAGAGCCCTAAAAAGATTTTCGGTTCCATTCGGTCCTTCCATGCAATAATATAAACAAAATTCAAAGTACAATAAGGATTCTTATGACTGTTGGTAACCGAAAAGAGTCTTGATTGCCGCTTGGGATTAATATTGTGGATTTCCTTCCTTGGACAAGGAGGGACACAGTCCACATACCCGTTGTTTGGAGGCTTTAAATATAAGTTTTATCATTTTGAATTCCATGAAAAGGGAAAAAGAGAGGAGGACCACATCGACGTATAGCAAATAAGAGTGCCTTCAGACCACTGCTTTATCAACTATGTCCCTTGTCCCTTGTCCTTTCAACTGTGAACTGAAGGCAACCTGCATCATTAATCCCAAACGAAAATCACCATCTGCACACACCAATTCAATATGCACCGACAAATAGGAGTTGTTGTTCATAGCATAGTCAAATGGGAAGGAGGTCAAAGAGGAGGAATATTATTTTTAGACGTAGGTTGTTCCAATCGTATGACAAGTAACAAGAGTTGGTTCATAAATCTGGATAAGCAATTCACACACTTTGCAAGGCTTGGAAACAATGCAAGAATGCAAGTGAAAGGGAAAGGTATATGGCAGCTACAAAAGAAAAACCTTTCAATTTTTGAAAACGATAGCTGCAAACTTTTTCACAGAAATGGGGGATGATGTTGCAATCAAATATGTCACCAAACGGGATGTTTGTGCTTATAGCTAATATAAAAACTCTTACAACATGCCTGCAAACTGCTAGCGAGGATGTCACAGATCACCTATGGAATCGAAGATATGGTCATTTGAAAGTGAAAAGGCTTCATATGTTGCACGACAAAGAGATGCTTAAGGGTCTTTCTTAGATAAGTGATTCCATTGACATGTTTGAAGTTTGCCATTAAGGAAATAACAGCAAGAAATCAATACGTCATTAAGGAATTGATTGTGTCAATTAATGCCATTAAGTACACATTGAATGCACAATAAATGCATCAGTTACAAAATTCAAGCCAAGGACTAAAACTATCAAGTTTAGCAAAAACGATGGTTGCGCGAGCCTGAGTTTTTGGAGCTGCATTCGTCTCCACATGTCGCGCCCAGACACAAGTTTGGTGAATTTGGCCTACAAAATCCAAGATTCGCACCCCCTGCGTGCGGGTAGAAGTTGAAGTAAAACCATATATACAAGCTTGTAAACCTATTATACATTCAAACTTATAAACTCACTTGAGTATGGTCTTTCTACCAATATTTCGAAGCTCTCACGGAGAAGAACACAAATCCACTTAGAGTTAATTATATATACAACATATATATATATATATATATATATATATATATATATATATATATATATATATATATATATATATATATATATATATATATATATATACACACACACACACACACACACACTAAGATTTCCAACAGAACTGGTGATCAAATTTCAAACATTATAACAAAGCCTTTGAGGCTTAAGACTTTCCAGAACATGCAGAAATTACTTGGGAGTTCAAAGTATTGAAAATACAAATTGAGATTTTTTTTAAGCAATCTCAGTTTGGGTAAGGATTTGATAAGATAAAGCCAATGAAGTTAGGACTTCTTTATAAAGCCCCAATTATGTAGGGACAGTAGTTCACTCGTTCGTTCAAATTTCTCCTAGTTTTGAGTAGGGCATTTGGAGATTATGCTTAGTCATTGTTGATTTCTTTAATCTTTCTGTTTTGTAATGCTCTATATAAGAGTCAGGTATGTTATTCAATACAACAAAGCTTTGAGTTGAGTATTTCTGTTCACATATATGAAATCTTACTTTACAAATGAGAAATTAAATATCCTTCTACTTTTTGTTCCTACTTTTCTTCCTACCTATTTAAGATGATGAGAAGTTTATAAATTTAACAATCCAATCAAATTTAAATTAAGAGAAATTAAATATCCTCTTACTTTTATTCTTATAAATCCTCCTACCCAATTAAATGATAACATGTGTCATATTAATATATTAATATATCATTAAATGAGCATTAAATATTACACATGTCACTATTTCATTTGCCAGTTTCATTATCAAGTGTTCTTGTTCACTAGTATTGTTAATGTTCCCTCATATTAACTTCTGGAACATACCCAGAAATCATCAACTCACAAGAAAGATTTTGTAACATTTTATAAACACACTCAGATTTATCATGAGATTTATCCCCAGCCACAAATTTAACAACTTTACCATCAATTTCAATTGAACTCACACCTGGATTCTTCTCAATACCTTTATTCTTCATTCTCTTCCTCACACTACTTGCCTTATGCCAATCTTTTCCAGCAGCATATATATTCGAAAGAAGAACATAATTCGAATCCCCACCAGGGTTTACTTCACTTATAAACCACATCAACTTTTCAGCCAATTCCACATCTTCAGCCACTCTACATGCTGCAAGAACTGATCCTAATATAACTTCATTTGGTTTCATGGGCATATTCTGTATAACATTCAGGGCTTGTTTTAACATACGTGCACGACTATAAAGATCTACTAAACATCCATAATGCTCGATTCTTGGTGTTATTTTATAGTCTTGTGTCATCATGTCAAAAAGTTTCAGACTTTGATCGATTAAGCCACCATGGCTACATGCAGTAAGAGCTCCAGTGAAGGTCACTTCATCTGGATTGAAACCATCTTTCTGCATCTGGTAAAAATACTTGAGAGTGTTTTCTGGATTCCCATTAAGAGCGAATCCCACAATGAGGGAGTTCCATGAGACTAGATTGTGTTTAGACATGGTGTGAAATATTTGAAGAGCGAATTCAGTGCAACCACATCTTGAGTACATGTCTATTAATGAATTGTTTATACGGATGTTGTTGTTTAGTTTACCTTTTAGTACAAGTCGATGAAGCCATAAGCCTAATCCAAGTGCTCCTAAATTTGCAGAAGCAGAGAGTGCAGAAACAATGGTGACATGATCAGGTTGAATTCCAGAAGCCAGCATTTCTTGAAACCACTCCAATGCATGTTCGTAATGACCTTTCTTTACAAACCCATCAATTAACGCTGTATATGAAATTACATCTCTTTCAGGCATTTCATCGAACACCTGGACTGCTCTAGTAATTTCTCCGTTTCTCATCAATCCACCTACCAGAGTATTCCAGGTGACTTTATTCTTGAAATCCATCTTCTCAAAGCACAAGCAAGCAATGTCCACGCGATTGCATTTACAGTACATATCAACGATAGCCGTACCCACCTTGACGTTATCTTTATCATACCCGAGTTTACAGACGAGAGCATGAATTGAAGATCCAAAAGAAAGAGCATGTAAAGGGAAATCAGCACAGCTGGAGAGAAGAGTCACGAAGGTAATGTGATTAGGTTCGACTCCGGCAACTCTCATACGAGTGAACTCGGCAGCAGCACGATCTAAACGACCGGTTCGACAGTAACGAGCAATGGATGAAGTCCATGAAGAGACGTTAAGTTCACCGAAACTGGAGTCATCAGCATATGTATGGCGGAATATAGCGTGCTGTTTTGTGGGGATTGGAAGGATGCGAGGAGGATGAGTGAAGTGGTTGTCGTTGTGGTCATGTGGTGGTGCACAGATGGTAAGTGTTGAGGAAGCAAAGAGACTCATTTCGTTACGTATCTTATTCTTACCCCGTCGCTTTGTAAGCACAAGTTAATGCTACAGCTTCATCGTCTTTACATGTGATTTGTTTCAATACCTGCAAGTAAGAGCATACACAAATCCATAGTTTTAAGGGAAGAGTTACCCAGGTAGAATGACTGCTATCCTCTAACCTCCGCCGTGGGCTGCAGCTTTTCCTCTCAAGTCTCCTCTCCGCCGGAGTAACTAGGAAAGTAAGAAGTTGCACGTATTTGCTCACTCTTTTTTTCACTCTATGAATACATCTTCATAAAATATATGAAAGAGACTCGAATATGGTGACACTGAAATAATTAATATCTAGATATGTAATTTGCACTAAAATATCTAGATACATAATTTATTAGTATGAACTACATGATCATTAATGTGTCAAACTATAAGGTAGGGATTTATACTAAAAGCACCGTTATAATAAAACTATTTTTCATAACTTTAAAAACTTAAAATCTAGTTTTTTAACAACTAAAAAGTTAAAAATTCAATATTACAAAACAACGAATCCAACAACCTTACAAATAAGACAAATCCAAATTACAAAAAAAAGTATGACACCTCCAAAAATATATGATCAATTAAAGTAAAGAAATCTTAAAATTAGATAATGTATTGTCTATATATATTTTTATATTAAATATATATTTTTATACAAATATACAAACAGCCCCCCAGCAGAAGTATGGGATAGAAATACTTATTTCAGCCCATGATCCCAAAAATAAAACGAGGTTTAATTCCACACCCACCCTAGAATTTTTTAAAAATTTAATCCCGTACAGAATCAGAATCCCGCAGAAATTTTTAACATTCCTACTATTATAAAGGTGTTTTTATTATGATTATCCCTTTTTTTTTCTTTTTGATTTTTTTAGCTTTGGTTAATTAAAGAACTTGTTTGTTTATCCGAAACCGGCTTTGAAAGAATCGGATCATCCAAATCTATAACTTTATTTACAACTTAGGTTATTTAATCCGAAAATGGTTATAAATTAATTTGAAACGTGAAAAAACATAAGATTTAATCTGAAAAATAAAATAAAAAATAAAAAACTATTAGCTAATCTAAAACAGGTTTTGAGTCATAGATATGCTAAGGACTTGTGGTATACATACCACGAAGGCAATCGTGGTCTAGTTGGCAATGAGGAATTCTCGTGCACACCACACCGATGTTCTGTGGTCGGGCGTGGTCGTGCTCGTCCGTGCTCCCGACGACGAAATCAAACGGACATTTCTATTGGTTTAATGCTACAACGGTTAGTTTTGGATTCCAACATTTTTTTTTTCTTTTTTACCTTTCAAACATATTAACCTTCTCCTATAAATACCACATTTTCTATTAACATTTTCACACAATTTCTTCTTTCTTTTCTCACAAAATCACACACTTCTTTTACATTATTCCAAAACTAATGGCTCCTAAAAGGATAAATTGGTCAGAAAATGAAGAAGAGAACTTAGCACGAGCATGGGTAGCGGCTTTAGAAGACCCAGTAACGCGTCCTAATTTTTGGATAAAGGTTGGAAACATTTTTCATGAATTAATGGGCTCTTAAAATCGTAGTGTTGATGAAATATGTTCAAAGTATCGCGATATGAAAGTTAAATGCGTTGAATTCAATGGTATTTATAACTTTGTTATAAACAACGTACACGAAGGCGACCCGTTTGTTGTGGCCATGAACCAATATGAAGACACGAAACACACACCGTTTAAACACGTTGAAGCTTGGCGAATATCAAGAGAGTGCCCAAAATTTAGTGGCTAAAAATAAGGTTTAAAAAGTAGTTTTAAGTTGTTTGTGGTTGTATTTTTAAGTTTTTTTTATGTTTATTTTAAATGTTGTTTGTTTTAAATTAATGTAATCTTGTTTTACTAAATAAAAAACTAGTTTAATAAAAAAATATGTTTTATTGTGTTTTTGACTTAAATTTAATAAAAAAAAATGCGTTATTGTGTTTTAATGTATTTTTGAATCAAATTTAAATTAAAAAAAATGAGGTGGAGTGGTAAGTTAGTGGTAGGTATCACATGTTAGTGGTAGGAGAATGTGGTGCTGATATGGCACCCACCACATATGTGGTATGTGATGGGTATAACGGATGGTCTATTGAGAATCTATAAAATGTTACACTTTATTAACAAGTTCAAATACAATATAATTTATCTTTATTCAACAACCATAGGATATAGTAAACTAGGTGTATTTAATTATAACCAAGGAAACAAAAAGAAAATCGTGGTTATAAACTTATTATAAAAAAACATACTCCCTCTATCTCAAATTGATAGTTCACTTTTAACTTTATAATTTTTTTTCTTTAACTTTGATCTTAAATATTTTTATTTGTATTATATATTACTTGATAAAACTTATAATAATGAAAAAACATTTAAAATATAATCCATTCATATATTTTACATCAAATATTATCTATCAAAAACAAAAATATTTAAGGTCAAAGTTAAAGAAAAAAAACTTCAAAACTCAAAAATAGACTATCAATTTGGGACGGATGTAGTATTTATTAATTGTTAATTTGTTATTTTATTTTGTTATGTTAACTTGTAATTAGTCAAAACTTAGTTGTTAAAATAAGTGGAGGATTGAGTTTTTTTAATGACTCGTTGGTTTTTTTACTTACACACAAAACAGGTTTATGAGATTTTTGAAGACTTTCAAAAATGTTTTGGGATAGCTTTTTAAAATAAAAAATCCTTTTTAGAAAAATGACTTTTATTTATGTTTTTTTCTAAAAGAAAGTTTTAAAATATGTTTGTATAAAATTTTGAATGTGCAAAAGGGAAAAGGCCAAAAATAAGTCACACATTCGTGACTACTTAACCACTTTATTTTTCTTCTTCTCAAAAAATTAATTTAAAAGATCTTTTAAAGTTACCAAACAACTTTTTAAATTTGTAACTTTTTGAAAAAGATAAAAATCCAAAAAGTCTTTTCAAAAAAAATATCAAACACCCTCTAAAAGATGAATAAGTTCTCCCCGTAGTTTTAGGTCTCGTTTGTTTTTCTACAAAAGTATTTTTTGAGCACTTTTCCCTTCTGACGGGTAAACGTTTCGCAAGTGCACGTCTTCTTCCGCAAACTTGGAAAAAAACAAAAAACATTTAACTACTTCCAAAACAAACAGCACCTTAATGTTCACGAAATAGATCATTCATGTCATTTGTATAAACAATTATACATAACACCAAGGCTATTTGATAAAATAGAACCATTCATAAACCATCACTAAATTGATCAGCATTTAGCATATTCGATACAAACTCTAAACAACTTTAAATGATTAAAGAACCTTATTAAAAAATCAAAATCATTCAGCACTAAATGGTTCAGGTTGAGGTTCAGTATTATTATCAAACCTATGAAAGTGAGCCACCAACCATCTCACATTCAATTTCCACCTTTTCACTTTCATGTGGGAAAATGAAAATTAATTGCAACTTTTATCTAATTGATATCGATTCGAGTCTCAATCTCAGACAAATACGTGCCAAATTTTCATAAATAATCATATATCATGCCATAACATTACTCCAATAAAATGAGGCTATGTGCCTTCATACAATTACAAAACCTTGTACAAACAACAACAATACCCCATGAGTAACGAGGTAAGGGACAAAACCTTGTACAAACAAAGATGTCCCCAAAAAAAAGGCAAACAAAAAAATGCCTAGAAAAGAAGAAAAAAAAACACAATCAAGCAAGCATCAACCAGAATGCTCAAAATTACACAACACATTAGAAACTCGATATAATTACATTTTTTTCTGACACTAGGATACAACACAAACTAACTTCGCAAATTTAAGTTGCTTTCTCCACTGCTGCTCTATCCTCAGGCCCACCAAGCATGATCTGGAAGCGTAACCATTTACAACATCAGAATTTTTTCCTTCAAATAAGGGGTAAAAATGTCTTTTTGTAATGAGAGAAAGATGAAGATTATACATTACAATCGAAGGCGAATCTGCGTGCAAGCATAATAGCAGCATTTCTCTCTCTTTCGGACTCGAATGCAAGCACAAAGGAGAGGCCAATTTTTGGTTGCCAGAATGATGCCTGTGCTGCAGCATTTCCACCTCCTCTAACTCCACAAAGCTTATTTTGGATTGGAAGAAGAAATCATATTATCAATATTCAATATAAAGTATATATTAATTAAAAAACACATAAGATTTATTGTTGTTTTGAGAAAGGAATTGAAATTACCTGCATAAAAGGGGAGTAGAATTCTTTTGCCATTGTTGTGTTATCCTTGCAAAGTTTCATCCTCATCTTTCCTACATGAAGCACATGAACTGACTCTGAAGGATGCTCTTCCCCATTCATTTGAACAATCACTACCTGATTCCACATTCCACATCCACAATATAATCAACAAATAGCAATATGTACTTTCATTTATTTATTTATTTATTATGATAGCATAATAGCTGAGCTGGCATACGTTAAACTCGGTGTCATGTCGACGAACCAATGCTTCCACATAGTTCCCTAATCCTGCAGCTGTTTTATATAATTTGTATAAGTTGAGTTTGGTATAACTATAAAGCATCACGAGGAGGGCATTTACGTCTTTTCACAGACAAACCTGGATCAATGGGACCAGAGGTTGTCAAAGTGACACTCACGCCAACTGAAATGACATTGACTTGAAGTAATCGCCCAACATCAGAAGGTTCAGGAGCATAAATAGGTTTTGTGGCACCTAAAAAGTATAAATTTCCATTAGTTTTATAATTTAAAAAAAAAAAAAAATACTTCTTGGAAAAAAAAATAATCTTAATACCTGAAATAAGATCTTTTTTTCCACCTTCAGAAGCCAAACGATACCACTGAATAGAACATTCTAGAAGATCTGGGGCTTCATCACAACATGGATGAATCTGCAAATATGAGCCTAAAGATTCTGTGCCATCTAATTCAAATAAATCGGGTCTATTTTTCTCTCCCTGTTTGCTCATTGCCAACTGAATACAAAAAATAATAAATTAATAAATAATAATAATTAATAAACCATCTATGATAAATAATAAAGACTGATTATTAAATGATTTTGCCTCTTTCTGGAGCTTCAATGAACACTTAGACTTCTCTGCTAGTTGAGTTCGTAATGCCTGGAGCTCATGTTCCATATCCATAACCTATGAGAACATAATATTTAAAATTAATATTTCTGATTAAATAATATAAGATGATTTTTAGAAAATTTTATCTGATGCAATTAGAGGGTTAAGAAATTGGATGAAGTTAAAAGTTAAAACAAGGTTAAGTAGACATAAATACAATATCTGTCTTCTGATATTTCTATATACTATATAGATATGGTGTTTGAGGCTTGAGCTATTAAACTCCTAAAATATAAGAAAATAAATAATTGAAAAGGTCAAAATTAATAATAACAAAAAATACACAAAAGCAAATGCAATTAGCATGGTGTACCTTACTAGGCTGATGAAGCATCTTGATCCTTCTAGCCTCTTGTACTTCCTTCATTAGTTCTTCCACATCCTAAATATATATACAGCACATATAGATATAGTCACAATAAAACTATATATATAGTATAATGGATTGCAATTCATCATCATAAATTAGCACTATAACTCTATAAATATCTTGACACTCATAAAGAACAAAAAGAAAAGATGGTAAAAAGTGGAAGTTTTTATTTCATGTGTTCCATGCTATTACTAACCTAACAAGTGTTTTTGCTTTTTGTTTTTGTTTCTGTTTATTTTATTCATTTCAAAAGTTTCCTTTTATGAAGTGCACTTTGTGATATTGCTTTAAAGAATAGCTATAAGTAAAATCTACAAACAACTAACATTGTTTATAAAACTCTAAACAAACAAACCTGTGTCCCTGTAGCTCGGGACATTTTTTCTTGCTCCTGAAGAGCTTCTTCCACTCTCTGAACTGCAGCTCTAGCTTTCTCAATTTCAGTTCTTGCAAAAGCTCTCTCTTCATCAACAAGCTTTTTTGCATCTTCTGAAGCCTACATGTAATTATAAATCTTTACCAAAACTAAAAAGCAAAAATATAAGAGAAAAGTTAATTTCTTTAAGGTGTTGAACTAAAATAATGGAACAGTAACCTGCTTTAGAAAACTTGCAAGCTTCTTAACCTCAGCCTTTTCTTGAACCAGCTCTCCTTCCCTTTGTGTCAATTGGCCTGATAAAGCTTCAACCTAACCATAAACATCAAAAATGAAAATTTTTAACAACTTAATTCAAAGGCAAAAATATGGATTGTGTTTATGTCATCTAAAACAAACCTACCATGGCAATAGCCTCCTCCACATCATCTTTGTTTTTACCAACAGCACGCCCTCTCAATGATTCAAGTGCATCTTTAAGCTTTTCTAAAAGCACATGTTTCTCTAGAGAAACCACATCTCTGAGCTTATTCTGTCCCTCATATGTGAATTGCATTCAGTATAACAAAATGATTTTAATATATGTGTGAAATTACAGAGGCCAACCTCATCAGATAATTTAGCAGCAGCAGCTAAACCCTTTTCAAATTTACTGGCAAGATCACGAACAGATAAACGATTTTGTTGATCTAGCAACTTGGCAGTTTCATGTCGAGTTAACTCCCTCATAGAAACTAACTTTGAATCTTCTTTTGCCTCCATTGTGTTGTTATTAGTTCTGGTTTTGTAATTTGGAAATCGGCTGGATGCAAATAGAACATCTGCTGACACTGGGGAAACTGCATCTCTTTGAGTTGTGTAGCTGAAATCTCGTCCCATTCTTGTCATGCTTCTGGTTTAGATACAACTGTCGAGAATCAAGCTTTTAGTAACAATACAAACCCTAAATCCATAAGTCAATTTCAGATAAACAAGTAGTATGACGTAGGCTGATCTGGTCAGATCAAACAATTAACAAACGATTTCTAGTTTGCAAAATGCAAAAGAAGCCAATGAAGGTTTCGCTTGATGAATAAGTCAAATGAAACCCCATTTCGTCGTGGAAACGGAATAATAGCCTAATCGGCGGAGTAAACTCTTTTATGGCTTGTAATTACATCATTAGTTAGAAGTCGTCAACCTGGATTACATCAGACATATTTAATTAAACCAAAAGTCAACAGACTGCAAAAAGGAAGAAGGAGAAGAAGAACCACATAAAGAGGATGTTTATCAAATTATAATGCAGACAAAGCAAAGCAACCGATGAAACAACGGGAATGTGCAAAACGAAGGAAAAACAGATTCAATCGGTATTAAGTACGAACAACAGCAAACACAAAAAACAGTGATACCAAACTGAACCCTAATTCAAAAGCGAAAATCAGTAAATTGAACCACCTTGAAGCGAAAAAGATGATTGTGCTTACAGAGCATGTAAACAGCGACTAATTAACAACCGATGAGAGACTTATTCGGTGGATTCGCTGTTGAAATCGACAGGCAATGCTTCGATGATGATGTTGCAAGAAGTGAGATTGGGAATTTGGAAATTTTAAATCCAAAAGAGTATTTGGTTTGCTTTTTGAAAAGCAGCAAAAAGGCGTAGAAGATGTGTAGTAAGTCCAAAGTGAACCTCTCAAAGTCTCGAACACATACAGTGGAGTTGTTTTACCCGGCTGTTTGGAGTCTTGTCTTAAAATTGATTACGATTAGGAAAACATGTAAAATACGTTTACTTATTATAATTTTAACTTATTAATCTGGAGTATCTTTTTATCATTTTATATATAATGGTAAAAAAATATCTTTGTTACTAGAAATGATTAAAATATGTGTGATAGATTTATAAAATGATAAAAGTAAATTGTGTATTTTCATAAGATTAGCTCTAATTAAAAAATTATAATTATTTATAATAAAGTTGATTTTATATATATATATATATATATATATATATATATATATATATATATATATATATATATATATATATATATATATATATATATATAGGGTAAAATGAATATACCTAACAACCTTATATAAGCTTAGGTACCTAACTCCATAATACTACATCGGTTTGTATCATATTTACATTGTAATTGCCTAAGGTTCCTAAACTTCAACCCCATAACTTGATTACTTCCAAAATCTTTGGATTTTCAACAATATATTTCTTTTACATCACGTCTTTCTATCGAATACCACCTAATGAGCTTCATATCCTACCGCTACAAATGAAAGGATGTAGGAGAAATATAATGATAAATTTTCAAATTTTTTTGAAGTAAATCAAGTTTAGGGATGAAATTTAAGAACATTGGATGATTACAATAAAAATTTAATGCAAAATCACGTAGTTTGATGAGGTTAGGTACCTAAGCTTATATAAGGTTGTTAGGTATATTCACTTTACTCATATATATATATATATATATATATATATATATATATATATATATATATATATATATATATATATATATATATATATATATATATAGAGAGAGAGAGAGAGGGTAGGTATAAATGTGGATGTACAAATATTGTGTGGATGTAGAGATTAATGTGGATCAAGTATTATTTAATTTTAATAAATAATTTATTAAATCATCTATCCTTCAATGTAGGCAAATTAGTTTATTTAAAATTCTATTGCCTCTTCCATCGACACCCATAAAATCGCATCCCTCCCGTTTCCATCCTCTTTCCTGTGAAGCTACGATTGAAGCACTGCAACCCACCGTACATCTTCAAGCTACGATTGTTGTCGCTCTTTCTCTCTCTCTCTCTCTCTCTCTCTCTCTCTCTCTCTCACTCTCACTCTTTTTCTCGTTCAATTTGCTTTAAATCAACAAAAGAGCAAAAATCGTGATTTGGTTTTTGAATCATCACCGGATCGATGCCATAGGGATTTAGGCTTTAAGGTAGTAAATCGAGAACTGGGCATCGGTGGAGGCGATGGTTGTAGGAGGACGGGATTTAATTATCGTCATCGTCAAGATCGGGACTTAATTTGACTGTGTGCTTCATCGATTCAGCCGACCCTATTCTCTTAGCCATCATCGGTTTCTCCCAGGTAAGCTCTCGATTCCACAAAATTGGTATGTTGTTCGATCCCTTAATCTAAATCTGCGTTTTTGAATTTTATTTTTATTTTGTCAATCCAATTGTTTAGGTCTCCCTGCCTGACAGACGTTCCCACACGCACATACCTCACCTGAAGGTCCAACTATGGCGAATAACTCCAACACCAACAATGAAAATCTATTTTCTTCATTGATTTGTGATATCAAAACCTACAATGGCGCAGGTCCTCTTCTCCCATTGCTCCGGTAAGCACAAAACCCTAAATCTATTTTTCCTGCAGTTCCTTGTCACAAATTAAAATTTGTTTTCTTGTAGCAATTGTGCTTAGATTAAAAAATCATTCATATTTAATATTTATGTTATTGTTATGTATGTGAAGTTGGATTTTGTTGATGACCCTAGTGTTGTTCTGGAGAACATGAAGGTGAATCACATTGGGAACAAGAGGTCACTATTTTACCAGGCCTATGCTCTTTATTATGAGAAATTAAAGAAATATTGATGCTGAAAAGATGTATCATTTAGGAGTGAAAAAGTAAGTGATTGTTATTTGTTATTTTTCAAAATGTTCATTCAATTTGAATTGTTCGTTGAAATTCTTAGCTTCATATACTTGAAGCCTTATTTTATTTTATTTATTTATTTTTTTTGAGTAATACATTATATGATTTATTGGTTTTTACCTTTTGCAAGCTTAATTGATAACTGGTAATGTGATAATGGATTTGATTGTAGAATCTATACTATAGTATGAATAATGTGAGGTGAGGTAATTAAATATTTGAATTTTGTTTTACATAATGATCAGGTGAAGTAAAACTTATGATTTAATTCCAACAAAATACATGTTGTAATTGAATCTTGAATTCCAATTATATTGGAATGGAATCACGAATTCCAATTATGTTGGAATGTAATATGAATATTTTCTCACTGATTTATGCATGTTCTACAATTCTTGGTTATTGGTTTTGGTGCAATTCACAATTCCGCATATTTTTCCAAATGAATTTAGTTTTTTATTTTCATTTGATAATGCATTATTGGATTCTAAACTACAATTTGGCTTTGTTTTCATAGAAGTTGATGCTTGAATAACGGAATACAAAATTGAAAGTGATTCTAAGCAACATTATTCTTTTAGAATATATTAGTGTCTTTATTAGATTTTGATGTTTTCTTTCCCAATCATATCACCTTTTTAAAGGCAATATTAATCAAAATTTTCAAATTAAATACATTATCCTTTAACTTATATGTATTCATATGTATGTGTTCTTTACTGATAACATCGGTTTCCACGTTGTGATAATGATATAGTTATATCGTATAAACAGAACTCGCAGAAAAATAAAAAATAAGCAGGAAAATAACTTTTTGTGGATTTAACCCCACAAAAATGATCGGTTAGCTAATAGCAATTAAATTTCAATTAAAATAAGTCGTTCACTGGCAACGGCATCAAGAACTTGATGTATTATATATATATATATATATATATATATATATATATATATATATATCACACCCCAAAACCGAGAACAGCGGAAACGTTCTGGGGCGGAGGACGTCATGTAGTGTATCACAACAATGTAAAGTAGTAAACAAACAACAACATCATCCATTACATTAATAGTATAATTTTAATTACAAGTGTGTTCTTTCATAATATACAACAATAAAATGAATAATCAGAAAATAAGACGAGTCTGGACTGCTCCGTCTTCACAAAACCCGGTCGTTGTACTTGTCTATTTGTGACCTGAGAATACAAGTTATTTTGAAAGCGAGTATCAGCCAAAAAGATGGTGAATTCATAAGTATTAATGTGTTTTTGATTTGTAAAACTTGTAATGAAAGACTTGATATTGTTATGAAAGAAAGTTCGTATAAGTGTGGAAATGTTTGTAAGTAATCGAAACCGTTTGGTAAACCCTAGAAATCCCTATGATTCCTATTAGTATAGATGAAATCTTCTACCAAGACCTAGCTGTTTTGAAAGTAGTCTTCTACCAAGACCCAACTGTTTTGAAAGTAGTCTTCTACCAAGACCTAGCTGTTTTGAAAGTAGTCATCTACCAAGACTCAACTGTTTTGAAAGTAGCCTTCTACCAAGACCCGACTGTTCGACAATTATTATTAATATAAGAAATTGTATCCTTTGGTACTAGGATACTCAAATACAATTCACATCATCGGTTATGTGAATGAGTCACAAGATAAAAGTAATAATATAACTAACTTAAGTGTTACCCTTTTATACTAGGATAACTAACAGTGTTAACTTTAAACATCCGTAGATGTACATTTACCTGTTGCTAACAGCTAGGTGTAGGAATAGTTAGTCCCTTAAAGTATACCTGTAATGGTATCAACCGTAGACATCCGTAGATGTGCATTTACCTCTGTTGCTAACAGCTAGGTGTAGGAATAGTTAGTCCCTTAAAGTATACCTATAATGGTATCTAGACATATAATATATAATAGTAATTCGCCATATAATATCTATGTAAAAGTATTCATGTAAAAGTATTCATGTAAACGTATTCATGTAAACGTACTCATGTAAGCGTACCTATGTAAACATACTCATGTATCATGTAATGTACTCATATAGACTCATGAATGAACTGACTCTTATGTGATTCCCTGTACTTGGAATAGTAAGTGGTATCTCCTAACTATACCTATTATAGTTACTAGTAATGTACGAGTATAACCGAAAGTATACCTTTGCTACTCAAAGGTAATGAACTGACTAATGGAACCTTGATACCTATATATGTATACATGATATATAAATAATATTTAGACGACCTTCGGACGGATACCCGATATCCCACCAGACCACATCCAAATCGAGGAAAAGGAAACAGGGTGGATAGCTTTCCTAAGTCTTTTAAACATTTCTTATATAACTATACATATAAAGGCATGCAATTTATAATATAAAAGCGTAACAGAAGTTTTCTAAAACCTTTGAAAAGTTTAATAATAAGAGACGATGACCTGATGTCAGTTTATAAAACGATTGAAAGTATTTTGTTTGATAATACAGTTTATGTATACGGAAAACCTCTGTTTGAAAACACCTTTGTAACAGAGTTTGAAAGGAAGCTTACAGTGTGTAAGACAGTTTGACAAAGAGCTTTAAACATGTAAAAACGTTTTAAGAAAGTCCTTTTAAGTAAGATGTTTGGTAAAACTGCTAAACCTATAGTAAATCATTTGTATACTAGTTATAAATCCCATATGATTGATTTATTAACAGTAAGTATAGCAAAAGATTGATGTTTTTCGTGCCAAATTAATCGTATGTTTGTGGTACCAAAGATGGACACATATACATACCGTATACGCAGGGTGTTTGATTCATATATATATATATATATATATATATATATATATATATATATATATATATATATATATATATATATATATATATATATATATAACAGCATTTTTCATTTCAAAAGTTATGATGTTATCGCGATATATTTTGCATACGAAAGTTTCCCTATAATAGTTATAAATCACATATGATTTCGTTGATAAAAAGCGTACAATGAAACTTTATTATATAACACACGGTGATAATCGAGTGTTTT